TTCTGACAATACACTAGAACAAGATAATTATTTAAATGAACTTAATCAAAAGTTATAATTTTGGTTCGTATTAAAATAAAACTTGGAAGGAATAATATAATCCAATTCTTGTGGTGTTTTTTATCCTTAAAAAATAAAATAAAACTATTCCACGACATTATCAAGTCCAAAAATTGTGCTTTATAAAAAATTTCAGATCTACGAACAATAAAATGCCATCGATTTTGACAATGGGCAACTTATACTCATACGGCAAAAAAGTCAATTAACTGGCAGTTGACTTCTCACTTCAAACTACCACGACCCCCCTGGATGCCATATTCCACCACTTTTACAGTAATCATCCTACCTTTTCTCTGCCTTTGTGTCAGTCTCTTTTACAACTGTAAACCACTCTTCTGTTCCCCTTCCCTCGACTTTCTGTTACTTTGATGTTCCTTCCCTCTGTGAAGCCCGAAGTCAGCTAAAGGGCTAATGATAACTATCGAAACGCCTGGCATTTGAAATAAATAAATAAATAATTTTAAACCCGATAATTTCCCCAATGTCTACTCCCTTCCATTATAAAATTACAACACTTACCTGCGATCGGGAACGCTATACCAATTTAAAAGGAATTTTGTTGTAATTAAATCTAAAGCAAGCATGACAAAGATTTTCTTGCATAACACTTTTAAAGAGCTTTAGTAGTTGAGAAATGGATTTGGATAAAGAGCTTGATAATGATTACTCCATTTAATTTTGGAGTTAACCTTTCTTATGCGGCCACATACTTTCAAGATTCTTTTGTGAACTTGAAGTTGGCAACGTGAAAATCGATGAACAAATTTCTCTTCAAAACCGGCAGCTCAGGTAAGGCAATCGACGAAGGTCACAGGATAATGGAAAATCAATCGTACCTCGTGCTATTTAGAAATTAATTTCCTTTTTTTTGTTCAGAAATTTTTGTTTAGGAAACTAAATTTTCTATCGAGTGGTAAGCTTTGAGTTTTGTTATATATTAAATGCGCAAAAAAATATTCAGATAAATTGAGTGAGGTGAACAATCACAGAAATTACTCGAGTGGTTAATTGCCCATGCGTATCGTGGATAAAACCTGAGAATCGAAAGACGAAAGCTGAGTATTAGGAAGGCAAAAATTAAACTTTTCAATTTTGAACATAAGCACAAATTAATACTACTGAAATCAAAACCATAAGTCATCTTACTAATATTCTCTTCTTCAATTCGAACCATATTGGACTCGTTTGGTAAATGTTAATTCCAGTGTGCCATTGCCAATAACGACAAAAATTAAAAGTAACAAGAAGTACTGTTCAGATCATATCTGAGACCCCGGCTGTTCGATTAAACGGATCATTCACTAGCACTAATTTCCAGGTCATTAAAACATAGCGAAAACAGGGAATAAACAAATTCTTTCCCAGAGGAAAAGCAAATCCTTTTAATTAATTTGTTCGGATTTAAATACTAGAAACAGATAACACAATTTCTCCCAGGCGAGCGAGAGGTGATGAGGCAAAGAAAAAATGGATAGAATTACCTCTAGCCAAGCAACAACTGTGGCAGCATTCCACATCGCGAATGGTATTTTCGTGCGCAGAGCAGTATCAATCAGGTCCTCACTACAAAAAAATTACGAGGAGAAATATGTCAAACACAGTGATTTATGGCTCTATTCAATGGCAGAAATAGCATAGATTATGGTCGTTAAACGAAAAGATGGGGATTTAGTTGGTGTTGGTTGCTATATCTATTTTAATTTCGGACTAGTATTAGCACCGATAAAATAAAAAAATAAGCTAATAAAAATGTATCATATGCTATATCTTTTCTTGATTGGCATAAAATTGATTACTTTTGATAGAGCTTATTGAAAATCGGTAATTTTGCTAGTCGTTGAGAAGTATTTACTTAAATCAATCGATATAAAGGTGGTTTCTGGGATACAAAATAAACATATATATATATATATATATATATATATATACAGAGGGGAAGGGCAAAGTACAATATTTTTTAGGATTTTGTTCACAAAATTAAGGATTCCTTCCTAAAGGTCGAATTATAACTGGTGCCATTCCCCTCCCTTCCCACTCTTGATGTAAATTTTGCCAGATCTAATCATTTAAACCTTCTTTTTAATTGAGGTTATATGAAGTAGTAAAGATAGAGCTGGAACAAACAATATATATATATATATATATAGATTTCCGAAGAAAGTTACATTTATTTTCAATTCTGATTACGCTTTAATTGAAAATTTTTCATGAAAATTGGACTAGGAGTTGTAAATTTTACGATCGATTCACAAATATCGGACATTTTAAAGTGCTTGCATTTGTATTAAAAAGTCGCAGCCAATTCCCTCAATCCCATTTGACAACAAAATGAAAACAGGAAGCCATGAGATCGTAAAAGCAAGTTTCATTGCCATTGAAGAACATTTTTTCTAATTTATTATTTAAAAAAGTTAAGCATTCTTTTATTTAAATTTGCATACAATGGTAGTAATGAAGTGATATAAGGTAGAAAAGATAGAAGGGATTACTCTCTTTGCCAGCGTTTCTCCTCTTGAGCGAAATGTGGTGGGAATCGACTTTTCCCCTTTTCTACTTCAAGAGGCGCGTCACGAGACACATTTCGGTCTATGGGAAAGGGAAAAAAGAAAACAAGAAATGCGTGTATTAGTTTGCATTCTCCTTACGATTGGTCAGTTGGGGGTCTGTATTAAAGATATGATCCGAGCCGGGGCATAAATGTACATTGCAAATGAATTTAAAATTTCATCACTAAAGAGTGAGGAAATTTCTTGCTTTTTGATAAGGGTTTGCGATATATCGTCCTAAAGACTTTTACGGCTTCAGATATCAGTATAAAAAATTCGCACTCTACTTCATTGCCTACTAAGATCCAGTTCCAGTTTCGAAGCCTGGGAGTAAGTCTTTTGAATTGAAGTAAATACAAGCGCATGATAGGCTTATTCAGTTAGAATCATTACAGTTTGAAGAAACCACAATGAATATGATCAGATAATATCCAGTGTTTTAATCGGATAGGATAATATCTCTTATTTGAGGTCAATAATGCCTTGTAGGAAAGTGAAATAAACTCTTCACTCTCAGTAATTTGAAGCCCGTACTATTAACATTCGTTTTGCCGACTACCGGTTTGCACAATAAATTTATAAAAAATGGAAACCATCACGAATATTGGCTGCTTTTCATACTTGAATCTTCAAGGTTCCACTGCCTTCGAGGAATGGGAGGTTCTTGTGCCCGAGAATTCGTTGAATGCTGTGGATAACCCTCTACATCAGGTTTTTGCTGGTCTTTAGGGCGATGCCGACTTCCAGGTCCTATTCTTTGTCCTCGCGTGTCAACTTTGTCGAAGGGCGGGTCCAGCATACTTGTATTCTGATACATATGAGATTCCTGCGTCGACCAGAAGACATCGTCGGGACGAGAAATCATTCGGAAACTGTCAATGGGCCTGCGTCTATTAACATGAACGCGTAGTCGATAAATTGAAATAAGAATTAATTTGCAAAATACAATGTTTTAATATCTTGTGTGAACACTTCATTTTCTGATTTTTTTGGTAAAATTAAATGAACATAAATTAAGGAAAATAATGCCTCATCGCGTTGTAGTATTCATCGCTCATTCCCTCAATTTCGCATTTCTGATATACGTAGCAGTGATTACGTTGTATTGCCGTTGCTATTTAATGACCTCATTTGACAAGTGCAAAAGCGTCAGTTAAAGGCTCCCCTCCGCAGAGAAGACTATATATTGCTCAAACTAACTAAGGGCTAATTTTTTTTGTTAGGATTATCTCTTAAAATCAAGCTTAATTGGAAGGATTAGAGGAGGGAGTTTCTAATGAAGCGTCTAGAATATCTCCATTGAAAGCACTTGCAACACAAGACATTTTTATCAACTAATTAACACCAATCGAAATGAAAGCTTACTTTTCTTATTGCGGAAATTATTCGTATTAAAGCTCCATTTAGGTTGTATGTGATGTATCTGTGTAGCGGAGCAGATTAGTTAAAACAATAAATTCAAGAAGAGAAATAAGAACACACTTGATTGAGACCTGATTTGGCAATTACTATTATTTCGAACAACTAGTTTTTTCTTGTCTCGATTTATCCGCCAGCCCGACTAAGGTTTCGGATAGAAATCGATATATTGGGGAAAGCGAACATTGCAAGTTAATACAAAGAGCCAAAATTTTAGAAAATTCAACGAAGAGAAGTTGCAAAATCTGCCTCCATCTCCTTTCGATATCTGGGAAACAATCTTTACTGAATATCACTTGCTTGGACGCTACGCTATTTAATTGGCAGTTTGAATTAAATCAGTCTAGTTAAGTTATCCCAAAATGCTTTAAAAGTGTGGCTGATTGTACCTTTTATTGGCCTAAACATCAACTGCTTTTACAAACAAAATATCATACCTCTACACAGAATTTAAATTAACTTTCAGTGTAAATACGCTTATAGAATTACTGATTGGATTAAATACTTACCTAGGATCCGATTGGGAATGCATACTCACGGCTTCAGGAATATCGTTTTGATGTGGTTTACTTCCGGATCCATATCTTGGCATCTGCGAAGCCACGGTAACGTAGTCTCGTTGATCGACTGCACCTCGCATTCTTGTCGGCAATGTCTGACTTCCGACGGTACTTTCACCTAAACCACCCACACCGCGTCGAGTTAAACGAGGTTGTGGTGCATTCTGTGGCATCTCCGCATCATATGCGTGCTGTGTGTAAAGCAAAAAACGCTCATAAATCACAAAATGCTTTTGTAAGATGGTGCGCTTTGTGTAAGGTGGATGCGAAATGAGAAAACGTTTTATGGGCAAATGCAACTTTAGCCAGAGGAAAACATGCAGAGAATCAAGGGCCTTTTCTTTTAGATTACTGAGTAAAATCAAAGTCAGCACATACTTAAAAAATAATTTCATCTGAGTTCTTGCTGAAATAAGGAGTTATTCTAAAGGGTCAAGTCTTTTTTTGTTCACACCCCGTTTGATCAATGTTCATATAGTCGGAGTAAATAGGTTTTTGGGACTTTGCATACAGGAGTTAGTGGGTCATATCATCCAACACCTGTAGGTTGCCAGTTTTAGGAAGCAACTTAATTTCAACCAAGAAAAAAGGCATTTTAACGCTTTTCTCGGTCAATGAAGCATTAGCATTCCGAATTCCGTTAATTTTAATAATGAAATCTGAAACCAGAGCCCTCATGCAAAGAAAAAAACTCACCAGAAATTGGTACAATGTGATCTTCAGGTATAAAATAGACAGATGGTGCGAATTTATTAATAAATATACAATAAAAAGCAAATTAAATTTTATTCACAATTTTTCTATGCATTTGATCATTATAAACAATTAACTTGATACCCATAAAAATATTAAAGAATTATAGCGAATTTGGATTAGTTTCAAAAGTACCTTTTTGGGTAAGAGATAAGCAGTTTGATATCCTCTTCGTGGGAGGGCTGGAACCGATTCACTTCCCATTCGTTCTCCAAAGGGACTGGCGGAATAAGCTCTCTGAAATTGGAAGAGAGACATGAATATTATCGGAGTTCACCTTAGATACCCCCCCTCCCCCTCGAATTTATTTCCCTATACCACGGAGGAAGAGTAATAAGTATTCACTGATTAATCTCTAGGCATATATTCCACCTTATTCGCAATTGTCTTGGTGATATTAAAAAAAACTAACCAGCACTTTAGGATTAGATAAAAAATACATTTGCATTGAGAGCTATCGGTTAATACGTTCCTATTTCCCAATGCATAAGCAATCTCAGCATTCGAAATGAAAAGTACTCACTTCCATCAACAAGCATAACTCGAGGCAAGACGTTATAAGCAACATATAGTTAGAGGTATAATGGTCAGCCCACGAAATAACTTCGTATCTAGAAAGTTGTAAATTTTAAAGCCATTGCGCATTATGACCTAAAATAGTAGCTACAGTCAACGATTTTTCCACTGCATCGCAATTACGGTGGTGGTCTGTGTTCACTTACATATCAAGAGTTGGGTGAAATATCTTCTCCTTTTTTGGAGAGAGGGGGGGGGGGGAGAGGAAGGTGAATAAAAGACAAGATATAAATTTTAGTGATTATTTTTCAAATCTTTTTTTTAATTTGCTTCAACGAGAATGGGTAGTTAATCTACCTAATGAGTTAAATATTGCAGAAAATTGATGGCGTTAAAAGATATGCATGTTATTAGAAGAAAATTATTTCCACCTGAGCCATAACTGGGGTAACGCTAAAGGTATTTCGAGCTGTTTAGAACTTCGGAATTTCTGAGGTGGAGAATGAAAACTTACCTTGGATATGACCCTTCTCATTCTGTTAGCACTTCCATGCATAAAGGCAAGAAATACCTA